GGCCGGTTCCCGTCTCTCTCAGCGGGATCCTCTTGTCTGCTGCAGCTTGCAGCCAAGGACGGGATGTTGAGCCCCTGGGGCCAACACGGGGATGTGCTGTGGATGCAGGCCAACCTTCTCATTTTCATTTGCTGAAGTTTGGAAAGATTTCTGGCCTCATGCTGGCTTGTTGGTTAAATGAGATAATATACGTGGAACCCTTGGCACCTAGTAAGTGGGAAATAAATAATAACTGCAATAACAGTAATAATTACAGCAATAATGATCTTAACAACTGCTGCAGTAACAGCAGTCGTAACAGAGCAGTGATTATTCAATAACGATGGTAATAATGAACACAGTATTGGGGCAGTAAGTGGCACGGGGTGGGGGTGGGAGGTCACAGTGGGTGTGCTCCCCCCGGTGGGAATGGACTTTATTAGTGATGCATGATGACAAGAAGCGGACTGTGTGAGAACTCTCTGTACTTTCCTCTGTTCTGCTGTGAACCTAAAACTGCTGTAAAAAATGGTCTATTAAGACATTTTTAAAAGAACAAGAGAGAAACAAGCAAGCAGACCAGTGATTAGCTGTTGGGGTTATTTTTCAGTTCTCTGCAGCAGGGTGGACCTGCTGGCGCCACCCCATCCTTGGTGTGCCACGGTAATAACGGTTACTCTCAAATGGTCCCGTTGGCTGCAGGGATTCTAATGAGCAGCATGTTAATGAAGTAGTTTGTTATTACTCTGATGAGCGTCACTTTCTGTTCACAACTGGCTGTTGAGTGCTGGTGACATTGGCCCTGGGGTGCTACTATGACCAAAGGCCACAGGTCGTGGGCTCCGTGTGGCTCTCCCGCCGGAGGGGAGCAGCCACGCCATCCCCACTCCCCGAGGCTGCGGCTGAGTGGCTTGGCTGTGAGCAGCCCGTCTGGAGGGCACCCACCAGAGCCCAGCATCTGGGGACATCTTCCCTAACTGCGGGACGAGGGCCGGTCTTATCCCCAAGTCACGGAAGGGCTGGCTTCTTTCCTTTGCCTAGTGAAAGGTTCTCTTTCCTTCGAGCAGGATAACGCGCAGCTGATCAGAGAGGTGGAAGCAGACAAGGTGTCCGCGCTCTCCAGGGACCAGGTGGAGGCCATCAAGCAGCTGTGGCAGGACCCGGGGATCCAGGAGTGCTACGACAGGCGGAGGGAGTACCAGCTGTCGGACTCTGCCAAGTAGTGAGTACAGCGGCCCCGGCCGGCCTCCCAAGGCCATTTCAGGGAAGCAGGCCCACGTCTCAAGGAAGCTGCTCACCACATTTGCTGAAATGCAGGCGCTCAGCGCAACGCTGCTTGTCTCTATTCCCCTCTAACTTTTTAGTGCATCTCTTCCCACCTCCTAAAATTTTCCTTCCTGCCATGGAGCCTCAGCTAGCTCTCCTGGCCCAAACCTACCTTTCCCCATCAAGTTCTAAGCCTCGGTCCCTCTCAGGGAGAGGCTAAGTGAAATGTGGGCTTTCCTTGTGGGGCTGATCTCATTCAGGATGCTGGGATTATCTGATCTAAACAAGAACTACACCTGCTTCTGTTTCCACCTCTCCACATCCCTCTGCCTTCTCATTTCCTGCTGCGTAGACAGCAGGTCGAATTTCCCTAAAATCAGAGTTTATAGACCAAAAGTGCCACACACCAGTCAGCAGCTGATGTGGTGCTGCCCTCTAGCGGCTCAGAGAGGCTCTGCGGGCCCAGCCACGGAGAGTGCAGTCCTGAAGCCCCTGTTTATGATGCCTTGTGGAGGCCCTACCGCTGTATGCTGGACCTGTAAGGCTCTATCTTTTAATCATGAATCCATTAAGGTAAAAAGAAACAGAAGGTTCTGCATGCAGACTATCCCACAGAGATCACAGAATCTGATTTTAAGAATTTCCTAAAGTAATGCCTCTGCTGGCCAGGTCACCGGGCAAATAGTTGGATCATGGTCCTTTAAGAGGTGAGGACTCCTGCTTCCGCAGCTCAGCTCCTTCCTCCTTGCTGTGTGTCATTTCTATCCTCTGGGGACTCTGGCACCCCTTCCCCAGACGCGTCCTCTTCCCTTCAGGTGCTGGGATTGACCTCTGAGCCAGTGTCCATCACCTGGACAAGGCAGGGGTGGGATTGAAACCAGAATCTTACCTCCTCAGTGTCACTGTCCTCTCTTTGGCATTTGTCCCAGGCTGAGTGTTTAATGACATTAATTTAGGTTCTGAGTACAGGAACATTTAGGTGCAACAGAGCAGCAAAGTGGGAAAAGGAAATAAAAGAAGCCCCCACGAGGTGTTGGATTAGCACAGAAGACAGCTGGCCAGAAGGAAGGTAGCGTCCCAAGGAGGAGGGAAGACTGCCTTTGACAGGGGAGCCGGGCCCAGGTTCAAGTCAGCCAAGGTATTCCTGGCCCTCACCCAGGAAAGCCTAGTCATTTGCTGCTGTAAAGGCCCTGGGGAGTGGCTGGGGCTCCTACTGTAGGTCCACCTGGAAAAGACCCACTGGACCTGCTGTAGATTTTGATCTTTGAAAACTGGGGCAAGTCCACTGAGAAGAATGTTGGAGAGGCCAGGGTGGTGGACAGCACTGCAACAGAGAAAATGACGGTCACAAACCCGGACGGTGCCCTGCCTTTGCCCCTGGGGAGGCCCCTAGGCAAGTGGGCACTTCCTTGGGCCAGGTCAGTGGTTGCTGGCTGCTTATTTGGACAGGAAGTCATTTCACAAAAATTGAGCACATGCCTGCTATGTGTAGGCACTGGGGTCAGGGCTGCAGATATAGCCAGTGCTCTCTGCCCCGAAGGAACATAGTCTGGTGGAAAGAGCAGTATAAATCAAACCATCACAGGCGGAGTTCACGGGTAATAAGCCCTAGGGTGTGGATGGTGGTGTAGGCACAGGAGGCTGCCCCCGCGGTCTGCTTCCTAGGCTGAGGGCTACAGATGAACAGGGTTGGCCTGTTACCTCTTGGCTGCCCTTCATGTCACCTGTTTGGCCCCAGCAGACCTCGGTGAGCTCTGCCTGTGCACGGAGAAGGCAGGGCCAGCCTCAAGGGTGCAGGGTCTCCAAGTCACCACACCATCACTGACCAGGGCCTGAGTTACATGATTATTCACTCAGAAGTAGCATAGAACATGCTTCTGTTTGCGTTCCATATACCCTACCTATTGGTAGAACCTGCAGGAAAAAAAAATTAAAGAACCATTACAGTGATCGATCCCCTAATCATCCAAGACAAGTTCTGGGTGATGTTAGGAGATGTTTAATCCTCCAGTGAAACAAACTTTTTCTTATTTTGAGAGGACTTCCCCTTGGCCTGTTGCATGCCTTTATATTTTCTTCAAAATTCGAATTCATTGAAAACAGTGTTCAAGAACAGCACCTACATCCCATCATGTTCTTGGATGAGGGCTTGTGGGAGGAAGAGGACAGATGAGATGTCAGAGAGCCCATTCCACCCTCCTCCTCCTCCTGGCCCGCTGGCTCCCTCACCAGCCTGAGACTCATGGAGCTCAGGACCAGGAGGAAGAGAGGACGAGATCTGCAGGTTTCCTGGAAGGCTCACCTGTGTCTTCTGACCTGTGTCCTCTCCACAATGGTCGTAGGAGGGCTGGAGTGGTGGCTCTCAAGAAAGTCACTGATGGAACCTGTGAATCGGGGGGGGTTCACTATGAGTTGGGGTGACTTCTCTGGAGAGGCATTTCTCCCTGCTCAGCATCTTGTTCTTGACTATCAGTTACCTGACTGACATTGACCGGATCGCCATGCCGTCATTCGTGCCAACACAGCAGGACGTGCTTCGTGTCCGAGTGCCCACAACCGGCATCATTGAGTATCCGTTTGACTTGGAAAACATCATCTTTCGGTAAGACTGTCTCCCAGCGTGATCCATTAGAATCTGTCCGTCCAGGCTTGGAAGTCCCCAGATGGATTCCTAAATGTGTTATTGCTAAGAGGGGTTGTATCTCTTAGGGCATTAATGGCCCTCTCCATCACAGGGCATTTAGAGTTGTGGTGCATCTCAAGTCCTGCAATGGAGAGAAACACA